CTGCAAAATAACTGCAGCACTGGAGCCACCATATCACTACATGTCATTAACATTAAATAAACAACACAAAATGTAGGTGGTTTGAAAGTATTTCAGGTTCCAAAAGATGACAAAATTTCCATAGATTTGCAACTTGCATTGATGGACAGCATGGACAATGATAGTGATACACACACAAACATACAGCCCAACAGGTTACAGGAGGCACACACGAGCTTAAATACAGAAATTTGAGATGGCTCCTAAATCACTATTTTTTAGTCAAGCTGGAAAAGCATAGCACAGTAAGCATGCATGATAGTGCAGTAATCTGCTGGATGTTGCTTGTAAACATATGAGTGTCTTGAATCAACAGTGCTAAAATCATGACATGTGCTAAGAAAGAATGCCTTGTTTGTATTCCATCTCCATCCAGTTACTAGCCCATGATCCACTTACTAACTTGGCACTAGCCCATTGGAGTGGAATGTGGTTGATGGCTAAGCACTAAGCTTTCATAACTTAAGAGATATCAACATCTCCCACATCATTAAGCTTTCACAGCATAATGCTGTAGATGACCCAAGACTTTGCTATCAGAAGGCACAAACAAATGGTGAAATCAAGACTTACATAACAAGCAATGCTTCATATGGGGACTTATCTAACAAATTCACTGAATCAAGCTTTTGGACTAAATGCAATAAACCAAGGATGAACCAATGCTTCTATGCCAAAGATCACATATGAGGGCAAATATAGGTTTTTTCTTATTTTCATGCAGATTGCAATCCATAGTCCCATGCCTTTGCCTAGGGTGCTTCTTACACCTAAGTTGCTGCATAAAGCTGATTACCCCCACATCCAGGAATTCCTTGGTATTAGAAACAGCACATTTTGCTACACATACTTTATTGCAGCTCCAGCCACTTCCGAGACCATATCTGCAATCAGCAGAACAGCATCATAGTTATGACATTTTGAAGGCAAGATGAGGAAACCGTGTCTCTGATCGGTCTTATTTTATAGTAAATACCAGCATGTAAAACAAAATCCCACGACGTAACTCCCACCAGCACTCGTAAACTTACCCGACATGCACTGCAAAGCTAAAAGGTCAAGTTGTAATCCCACCCGCAGAGCAAAAATTGCTGCAAAAAAATGTTGCAGGAAGTAACGCATAACGGAT